TCACCTCATTCCCTTTCGACGAAGCACACGCATCGGTGGGAACACCATGAAACAGAAACTGCTCTGCTTTAATCCCGTCTAAGAGACAATACCGTCCGCTACGTCCTTCACTTGTGATCTAAGCACTCGTGAAGGCAGTTTGTTGTAAGTGCCAAATGCACGTAGGGCAAGACGAAAAGAGACCAAGATTGGACAAGAGGAGAGTGGGGAGACAACAATGCAGAAATGATGATGAGAAAGGTGACATTACCAGCAATGCAACAGTGTCAACCTCTATCCCTTTCACACACAAACGTTGCAGATGAAAAGTCACCGCAGGGCACCATCTACTTGCGATGTGATCGTGCTGCGTTGCTTTCGCACCTTGGAGAGTTTTGTCGTACGACCCAATCCTTCCTTATCAAGTGCAACATTCTCTGTGTGTGTTTTATTGCTGTTGTTGTTCAGTAAACATGCATGTCAAGTGAAAAAAGAAAACAGAGAGTACATCAATTGAGACTTCGGGGCACACCAGTTGGCTTCCAGCAAACGACTGTGCGCAGCAGGCAGCAACAAGGGAACGCTGCTCTAGCGGTTGCTCCCCGCCAACGTGTACAAAAAGAAGAAAGGAAATTGTCTTCACGGACCTGCAGTTTTAGGATGCTACGTAGTTGAGAAGCAACAGTTCTAAGAACACAACGCTCCGAAACGCTTCTAAACCGCGAAAGGAAAAGGAGAGATACGACATCAAGAGAGCGTAAGCTAAAAGAAAAACCTACACCTTACAAATTAGCACCTACCAGAAAGGGCACAGACCTATGCCTCACTATAAGCATTAAACTGTCTTTCTCAAGGGGTAGAAAACACAGTAATTTGCAGAAAAAAAAAGTTAAATTCCAAAACAAAACAAACTATTCAACAGACTCTACGAAGTGGGTAGCCCGTCGTACGTTTCCTCGCTGGGTGAGCGGGGAGTTCAGGGTCGGGTGGGTGGAAAAAAAGAAAATGATTAACTGCGAAGTTCTAGCAGTTGAGAAGGAAAGAAAGAAAGGGGAAAGGGAGATAGGAGAAATAATTCTCAGGCGAGGTCATTCCATTCGCAAGCTCCAAAAAAAATGTCTGAAAGAAAGAAAAAACTGCAAAAGGAGAAGTATTATTGTTTTTGAAGCGCAATGCCCACCCATTTACGCGTGTTGCGATGGCGCTGAGTCAACTCAGCTGTTCCACAGAGAAGAAGACAAAGGAAAACAAAAATCAATACTAAAAGATGGACAACTTTGACAAAAGACGTTTTACACAACACTTGGGTCGCTAAAAGAGAAAGCCTTTGTGAACAGCGGTAACTATCCAGATTTCTTCTTTCAATTGGCATAGTTCGTGTAGGTGCGCTTTCAAAACGCACCATTGGGATAATAGCCGCAGTTGTAAGTACGAGGCACGCAGGCAGAAACGACACACAAAAAGGAGTACACGCATAAAACGCACTGTGCATCTTCCGATGAGGCAAGCAGTAAGCGGAACTAGAAACAGATGACAGCGCAGAGGGTGGTTGGCCGCAGACACTCCTGGTCAGTGCGATTAGCTAGAAGACCAATAGAAAGTGATCACTTGAAGATGACCTTCGCATCGCAGTCGTATCCTAGTATTTTTGTACCCTATACTCAAACGGTTAGGGAGTGCAGAAGATGAGCGTCTCTCACGCCGGTACCACGTACGTCTAAACGTTTCAGGCTGGTGCATCGAGCAAGGTCACTCACATCTTCTAAACCGAAGTTGAAACAAAGGTCGAGTTCAGCGAGTCGTGGGCAGCTGTTTAGCCCATCTACGCGTCGCAGTCCAAGACAACTATTCAGAGCAAGTTTCTCGAGGCTCGGCGCACCAGCGAGACCACTCAGGTCCTCCAAGCATCTGTTGTAGGACATGTCGATCTCGCTGAGTCGTGGGCAGCTGCTAAGCCCATCAATGCTACGCAGTCTTTAACATTGTTTCGCAACAAGTTTCTCGAGGCTCTCCGCTCCAGCAAGGCCGTGAAGATCCTCTAATGACTCGTTGCCTGACACGTCAAGGTTGCAGAGGTAGGGGAAGTTGCCGAGACCGTCTAAGTTTCGTATGTCACAATCCTTTGCGACTAGAGTTTTGAGGCGTGGTGCACCTGCGAGATCCGAAACACTCGGCAGGTGTTTATTGTCGGAGACGTCAAGATCGGTGAGCATTGGACAGCTCTCCAAATCAGCCACCGACTCTATTTCACAATAGGTGGCTGTCAGTCGTTGAAGATGCTGCGATCCCGACAGCGCCGAGAAGTTCGTAAGCTTCGTCAAAAATGAAACTTCCATTTCGCTGATCGGCATCTGCGCTGCAACACGTAACGCACGATTCACGTCAACAACAGCGCGAGAGTCACCATACGTTCCACTGCAATTAATTGACAGTTTCATCACGTGTGGAAATGCCGACAGCGCGTCGAGAAACATGCCGCACTGACCGTCGCACGCCGACGCGGGGTCTTGCACGCACGCAGCTTTTGTATGGACATTAATGTACAGCTCCTCCACTCGGTCTCTCACACGTTCCTCGAAAAGTGTCAGCACGTCGCTACGTTCATTGTCGACGGTGACACCCAGCGGAAGCTCGCACTGAGCCGCCCACCACAGCGCGTGTGCAATCTTTAGAGGAGTCACGCTTTTCCCTGTTGCTGTGATCTCGTACATCAGCTGGCTGTCTCGGACCACCACACCACGACAGTCCATTTCATCGTCACGGTGGCTTCTCAGAGTCTCTCTGTCCAGCCTCATCTGTGGACACACGGCACTCAGTGTGTGAATACTGCAAGTGGTGGACTGCTCGCCCATGAAACTCACTATCTGAGCAATGCCGTCCATTTGCAGACGCCCCAGCGCTGTGTGAGCGTCACCAGTTGAATCGCAGGAGAGTGATGCATCAAAGTCCTCAATGTGGCCCTGAAGCTGCATCTTCGTAAAGTGGGGCTTTGCTTTTGGCGTGTGGAGTTGTTCGTGAGATCGCGTTCCTCTGTGTAGGTCTTAGAGGTGAACAATTGTAGATGATTTAAGTAGAGAAAGGTGAAGGGAGAAATACGTTGAAAGTAAAAGTTGGGTAGGAGATGATTCAACTGTACAACATAATCGTTATTCCATCTAATGTACAGGAGGTAAGAAACTCTTAAACACTGGTGAGTTTGCTGAGAAAATACTATTACATATATTTTGATGGTTGGGGTTTACTACCGAAGTGGTAGCTTTCGTGTACGAAAAAGGGAACCTCCAGGGAGTCGATCACGGGGCCGTAGCGGTCCCGCTCCATCGACTCCATGTCCTCGAAAGCCAACCAGTTGTGAA